GAACTCATTCCCCCGCCACGTCATAGAGAACTTATTCCCCCCTCCATGTCCTGGAGAAATCATTCCCTCGCCACATCCTGCAGAACTCATTCCCTCGCCACATCCTGCAGAACTCATTCCCCCGCCACCTGATGGAGAACTCATTCCCCCCGCCACGTCATAGAGAACTTATTCCCCCTCCACGTCCTGGAGAAATCATTCCCTCGCCACATCCTGGAGAACTCATTCCCCCTCCATGTCCTGGAGAAATCATTCCCTCGCCACATCCTGCAGAACTCATTCCCCCCGCCACCTGATGGAGAACTCATTCCCCCGCCACGTCATAGAGAACTTATTCCCCCTCCATGTCCTGGAGAACTTATTCCCCCGCCACTTTCTGGAGATATCGCAGCCAGGGTTGGCAGTGCACATTAGGTGGTGGTCTCGTTATTTCTGTCATCTTTTGTAGAATGGAAAGAGAATGTGTACACGTGCAGCGCTCTGATGTATGTTATCTGATGCTGTGTTGCAGTTGAGGGATGTTTTTGAATTCGGGACGGTTCACGTCTCTGTGCTTTGTTTTTTTCAATGTAGCACATACACTATATTGCCCAAAGTATTGGCCCCGCCCTCCAAATCATGTGATTCAGGTGTTCCAATCCCCTCCCAATCATGTGATTCAGGTGTTCCAATCCCCTCCATATCATGTGATTCAGGTGTTCCAATCCCCTCCATATCATGTGATTCAGGTGTTCCAATCCCCTCCCAATCATGTGATTCAGGTGTTCCAATCCCCTCCATATCATGTGATTCTGGTGTTCCAATCCCCTCCATGGACACAGGTGTATACAATCAAGCCCCTAGGCATGCAGACGGCTTCTACAAACATTGGTGAAAGAATGGGTCGCTCTCAGGAGCTCAGTGACTCCAAGCGTGGTCCCGTGATAGGTGGCCACCTGGGCAATAAGTCCATCCGTGACATTTCCTGGCTACTAAATATTCCACGCTCAACTGTTAGTGGGATTATAACAAAGTGGAAGCCACTGGGAACAACAGCCACTCAGCCACCAAGTGGTAGGCCACAACACATGACAGGGCGGGGTCAGCGCATGCTGAAGCGCACAGTGCGCAGAAGTCGCCAACTGTCTGCAGAGTCAATAGCTAAAGACCTCCAAACTTGGTGTGGCCTTCAGATGAGCCCAACAACAGTGCGTAGAGAGCTTCATGGAATGGGTTTCCATGGCCGAGCAGCTGCATCCAAGCCTTACATCACCAAGTGCAATGCAAAGTGTCGGATGTCGTGGTGTAAAGCACGCCGCCACTGGACTCTAGAGCAGGGGAGATGTGTTCTCTGGAGTGACCATTCACGCTTCTCTGTCTGGCAATCTGATGGACGTATCTGGGTTTGGCGGTTGCCAGGAGAACGGTATTTGCCTGACTGCATTGTGCCAAGTGTAAAGTTTGGTGGAGGGGGGATTATGGTGTGGGGTTGTTTTTTCAGGGGTTGGGTTTGGCCCCC